GCTTTGCACTCCGTGTTGTTCTGGGGCAGTGCGCTAGGTGCTTGGTCCCTGAAAGGAAAATTTCCCGCGATCACCGTGGACCCCCAGTCTCATGCCAGGGCAACAGCTGAGGCGTCCACACTTCAGGTGGAGCCTGACACCATAACGGCAGACGCTCCGTTCTTTGTGACAGTCAGCAGGAGTGGTTTTAGACGTCTTCATGTGAGCCATGCTTGCGCAGTCAGGCAAGAGCGTTGTTTGGAGTGGAGGCCCATCCAGGTAGTGACAGCCGATTGCGCCGATGCCGTGCGCAAGCTGTGTAAACCTAAGCTGGATGCTTCTAGGGCGGACTCCAATCAGAGTGCCTCTGCGTCCGAGTCAGCAGGCGAGTTTGACGGCTAAGTGGAAAGAAAAGCTGGAGCGTGGTAGTTTCTGTCAGTACTTCTGCTTTTCTTCTCATCATGTGAGTCAGGCAAGCACATTCAGTTTGCAGTTGGGTACGTTGTGCCAGACATTGCATTTCCGAGTCAGAGTGGGAATGTTTCTGTCCCAATTTAAAAGGGTTCTGGGCCTGTCTTGTGGCTCAGGCTTGTGCCTTTGGTGGTGCGTCTGAATGCTTGAACCCATTCATTATTTGAGACAAGAGTCCCGAGTCAGAGTGGGGAACTCTCTTGAGTTTGCGATAGATCAGTGTGCCCGAGTCATAGGGGCGAGCAAGAATATTGTCGAGTACCGAGACATTCATTTGAGCGAAGCCAATTGGCTCCAGTTTTGTTTTCAGTTTCTCAGGTAGCTCACAATGTCCGCGACCGACCTCCCAGGAGGCGTCACTGAAGAGGCCGCAGTTCAGTACTTGTCTTCGAAGGTCGACGCCAACCTAGCGCATCTTTTCCAAGAGTCAGGTGTGCCAATTGGGTTGCAGTGCAAGATTTGTCAGCAGTTCAAGACTGTGCGCGCGTTCGCCTCCTATGAGGATGATCGTTCCAAAGTGCGAGAAGCTATGAAGACTGATTTCTCTTTGGATGGTGCCGCAAATTTGGCCGCATGCTCAGCATTGGCGGCAGTAGTCAGCACTTGGGAGGCATGCCAGCGCTTCGCCGAGAAGGAAGCAGAGTTGAAAGCATGAGTCTTCCTTCGGGGTCTTGGAAGACAGCCTTGAGCCAAGCGATGAATATCTCGCTTCAAAATTGGAAGAGATAGAGTTGCGGGAGCCCTGTGCATCGCCACTTTCAGAAGTGACCTCCAAACGTAGTGCCAAGACCATGGGCATTCAAACTACAGTTGACCACAGTGGCGCAGTTCGCATCGTTCGCTCTATGCAAAAAGGTTCCTTGCCACAGGGCACGGAAGAGCTCGGCACAATCTTGAAAATCGAAGGCAACACCTGGCGCTTCCTGTCTGCCAAGTTCCGAAACAGGGAAATTTTGCGAAACATGCGCCCATCATGCTGGGAGGAGTACACGAACTTCCTTCTTGGGGAGCGCTGTGATCTCATGAAGATCCACGGAGGCAA